AAAATTCGAAGAATTGTTGTTGGAAAGAATCCCCCAATGCCTGTTTTATATTATTTAGATGAATCAGGGCCTCAACGACCCTTCGTAAGAGAACAATTGATGCACATTAAGGAAGAGCCTATGTTGCCTCCTAGGTGGGTATTGGGAGATAGCCGAATGCATACAAGGCGCTTTTTATAAAAGTTTCTAAATCCACTACGCAGTAAGGGATTGCAATAAGGATTACTCCTTCCCGATAACATAACGCTCTCTTTTCCCAATCACGCCAGATTTGTGCATCTAGATTCATCTGCCCTTGCGGGTGAAAAAAAGGGACGATTTGGTAATGTTGGTTGCCACTATATTCGAAAGCCAAGCCTAGCTCTTCATTATATCCATCTAGATGTAATCCCTCCAAGAATTTAGGTTTTCGGAGTGGGAATTTTTTATTTAATAAATCTTCAAATATATACCGGCATCTTCTTTCTGGTACATTAGGGCATATATTACACCATCCGTAATTCTGTTTCATATTTTTATAGGGTGCCTCCCATTGATGACCCTTTTTACATGCCCATAAATATGTATTAGGACTAATTTTAGCTAAGCATCTACCTTCCCGCCTCCGGGCATATGCTAAGGCTTTAGTATCAATATCGTCTTGCATTTTATAGGTACAATAGAATATCACGTACAGAAATTCAGACTAATCTGTTCAGAACAAACAAGTGGGCCAGGCCCCGGGGATTCCTTTTTTTGCGCAAGAAGCATGGGAGTATATGCAAGAAACTAGTATAAAATAACTAAGAAACTTGCAAAGTTCAAATAAAAAATATATGAGATCGAATCTAACATTAATGCAGTAGTATCGATATGGTAGTACCTAGCGCAAAGCCGAAAGAAAGCAATCGATGAGGTAGTACCCAAAAGTAATCGATGTGGTAGTACCCAAAAGCAATCGATGTGATAGTACCCAAAAGTAATACCCAAAAACAATCGATGCAGTATTACCCAAAAGTATCCCGAAGCAGTAACTATGT